ATTTTTGGACAATAATATGTCACATTTCAAAGAAGACTTTTAAATAAATTAACTATAAAAGATTTGAACCTTTTTGAAACTATGTCGGTACATCGGGCAGACATACTCTTCTATGTGTACTTATCGGACGTTTCTCTTAAAATATTACACAGTAAATGCATTTCTATTGAAAATATGTGTAACATTACCACATCAGTAATGAGCGATTTCACGGCGCTAGCGCATCCTTTGCCACAATTGTCAAGATGGCGGCTTAATGTTGCGTCACTTTCAGAACAATATGGCGGATCGTGTTACACTGCTCTGATTCTCTTTGTTGTGCGATTTGCGAGCACTATTCGTCTTGTGAATACCGATCTTGTCTATTCTTTTTTTAATCTATGGTATACTTACAATGATTGGCAGGTTGCAAGCAAAATACCGATCAAATATTCTGTGCAAATGTTATGTAATATTTATGTTTTTAGCGGTTTGAAACTCTCCTTTAGGAACGATTTTAATGAGTAATAGTTAATTTTGTAGTTAATCAAAGTTGTGTTGATCTATGACGAATATTCTGATCATGTTATCTAACAATAAACTTTATTGTCCTTGAATTGTTAGATTACAAACAAGTTTAGTGAACAGCTAGGCTAGTTAGGGCTACGTTTACTGTCTATTTGAGGCCATGACATCGACAGTGGTACCATTTATGGAATGATAGATGATTAACAAGCCTGCAATATTCAGCGTGCTCATACTATCGAAGCGGATAGTGATAGTATACGGTGAGTTTTCACTGTTTAAACAAATGTTACAATATTGCTGCTTCAGTTTTTTTAAATAGAATCACAAGGATGAAAAGTGATTGGTTAAATGTTTAGACTAAGGTCACAATGTGTAAAAGAATATGCTTGCAGTCGACCAAAATTTACATCTGCTTGTACAAACAGTTTAAAATACTATGCATTATAAACAAATAAATCTTTTCTTTTCATAATACTAGATGTAAATGCATTTATAATTTAGAATTATAATTGAATGTAATAAATTTATGTCATTCTCGATTTACATAACTACAATATATTAATGTCTATTGCGATCTTTATTGATGTTGTCACTGGTTGCATTTTTCTTTAAAGTTTATAGTTTTTATTTTTAAATAGATAAAATAGTTATGGCAACTATTTTTATATCAAATGAAGAATATAAATCAACTTTCTGCTGTGTCTAACAAAAAGTTTTGACAAACTTATTTATTTCTGCGTTATTAAGTTTGTAATGAAAATGCAATTTAAATTTTAAAGTATTTCAAACAATGCGTCATAGAGTAAGCGGGTACGCAGACCTAAACCGTGACTGTGGTGACCGCCGATCATACCGGAGACCAACCGCCGTTTGAACCCCGACCTTATTCGGCAGTTGGACAAGATACGACAATGTCGGAACTCGGTATTATCATAATCGCATATTTTTTTTATGACCTTATGATATATGCAAGATAGAACCCTATGAAACGATAATCTTGTGTTTATAGATATCTTTTAGAGGAGACTGAAACATACTCATGTTTAAAATTAATAAAAGATGAATTAATAAGAAGTTTGAGAGTAGCCCCAGTGGTAGAGAAGGTAAGGAGTAAAAAGTTAGTATAGTATGGGCATGTTATGAGAAAGAATGAATCGCATGTTACAAGGAGAACGTTAGTTATCAGTGTGGCAGGGTACACCGGTAGAGGTAGACCTAGAAACGGATGGATTGCGTGAAAGGTAACATGATCAAAAAAGGAGTGATGACTGAGATGACGTACGATAGCTAGACCCTACGGGAGTAGGATGAAGATGATGATGATGATGATGTTTAAATTTTATAAAAATTTAAATACTTTAATATCAAAGTTAAAAATCAATGTCGGACTATGCCGGATCGCTAATTCTTGTTAGAGTCACAAAGGTGATTACCTTTTTCTTTCTTGATTCTGTCATATAAAAACTAGTTCAAAATGTGTACTTTGTTAATAATAACATTGACAGTGTTAGCAGTTAACTAAGACAGTTTGAGAGCGTACAACGAACAGACGACAGTTGACTTTTGTATCGAGTAAAAGCAATTAAATTGTACTGCGTGAAATTGAATACAACTTTGTACCTTCGAATTGAAATTGTCTACTTTCAAGAGCAATAACCAGCTTTATTACGTCTTGGTACGTTATTATTATAATAAAATCTTTAGATTTAATTATTACGTGTGAGCTTTTTCGCCTTTTAATTAACTTTATCCAATGTTCCTAATTATTAACCAAAAATATACTATCACGGGTAGTTTATCGCCCGTGTCCTTAGATTGCATTGCTTTGCCCGAAATTGGTGTTTTCTCTTATATGGGATAGAATAATGCAGTCGGTAATCTAATGTAGCTAATTTATGAGCGTTAGAGCAAAAGAGCTTGGTTTTAGCTACATTTTAAAAAGCTTTTCAGATTTTCCCACGGATTTTGTTGCCTAATAGTGTTGTACCCTTTTAATATCGATAGAAATTTTTCTTAACATTGTAATATAGGTTATATTTTTGTTCCTTATCACGTTTTTACTTAGTAATACAAGTTTTTCGATTTTCTGTGAACATTTATCTGACGTTCATACGGTGTAGGAAAACATCGACAATTCCAAAATTTATTTAAAATATGATAACGAGGAAAGTACACACTATTCATTTTTAAAAGGCAAGAGATTCTTAAGTATAACAGGCGCCATTTAAAGACATATTCTTTCTATTAAAAAGTTAATTAATATGAAAAAGTAGTGACATTTTATTGACACCTTGAATTTGGGTATTCGATCGTAATGTCGATATAATCGATTGATGTTGATCGATGTTGGCGCAACACTACACATTTCGCTACCGACCGCGAAACGTGACCGCGCGCGACAAACGGCGGGCGTGATGTTTCTGAACGTAGACCGATACGTCTCTGATACTGTTACACCATGTTATACCATTATAAACTTTATACGTAATAATATTAAAGAGTATTTTTAATAAACAAGGATTAAAACTTTGACAAAGATATTATTCCTGAAGCGGTCTTTATTTATTATGAAATATGAAATTTATTAGACGGTTTTGATTCACATGTAAGTTATTTTGGCTTGTTTTATTGATTATGTCATGGTTAGCTACTAGATAATTAAGGTAATCTCAAAAATTACACCTAAAACTCGTCATGAAGTGTATATTTTGTCATATAGACATAGACAGACCGTACTTAGCAACTAAAAATGGCATACATTTGATGACAACTCATACAAAGTTGCTTGCTTAGATAGGCATAAGGCATAGAGCAAGTCGGTTATTATAAAAAAAAACTGCTAACTCACTTCTATTGTTTACAATCTGTTCTGATCGAGTCACATCGTAAACAGCCTTTTGTTTTCAAAGTCAATTGTCATACAAAGTAGCAATTAAAATTATTATAACATATGCAAATTTCCCTAGTTGTTAAAGTTGTAAATACTTAACAAATGGTGTTATTCACGCTGATCCATTGATATATTGCCAGTTAAGTTTCATAATAGGCCCCCCGCGTATCGGAGTTGCATCGCTACATCGAATAAGGACCACTTTTTCCACTTCGCTCCATTTAAATCGTCCCGCGGAGATTATAAATCTACTTATCAGGAATTTTAAGACACTTGTATCCAAACACTCTTGCTGTCTCTTTTTCTTTTAAAGTGATTGAAAGGGATCGAAATACTGTAGTAATACAGGTATGCAACAGTTTTATAGTTGAACACAATTTCATGGCAATTGAATTCGAAACACGCACAGCGATAGCAGATGTCCTCTTTGGGACAAGTCGAGGTTTAATTTACGTCAGTCGTCAGTTCAAGATGTATGGACGCATTCAACTACACAGAAATACTAGACCAATTATCGAGCCGATCTAATCTCTGCGTTCCATTCATACATTTTTCCATTCAAACTGTGTTAATCCATATTGTTTTTACTTACATTTTAGCAATTAATTTGGACTAGCTGTTGCTCACGACTTCGTCCGCGTGAAATTAACAAAGAATGAAAATGTAGCCTATGTTAAGTAACATATCTTTTTAAAGGTGTAAGAATTTTTAAAATCGGCCCATTAGTTTTTGAGTTATTTCAATACATACAAAAATACAAATCTTTCCTCTTTATAATATTAGTATAGATAGATAAATGAAACCTTCATAGTGAATAAATACCATGACGAATAAATAACACGTGGTATTTTTCTGGGTCTGGGATACAAGTGGAACACATTTCAATTGTGTAACAAGATGGGAATGTTACAGATTTAGTTGTGATTTATGTAGTTTCGACAGCTTAGCATAATCATAATCTGAACTAGCGCATGCGCGCCTGCAGGTCAACACTGACAAACTATTCTAAACTTAGCCCTTTAGGTATTTTGTCGAGCCCGTCGTTAGACCAGTATTGTTAGTATTGAAGATAATAGTTATAGGTGACAAATCTACACTGATAAAGCGAATGAGTAATATTTGTCTAATGTATTATCTCATAGTTGAGATTTAATACAGTTTTCGTATACAACTAGGTTACTCCTGTATCCTATAATATTCGGAATGTTGCGTGCATCCAATCGGACATAAAGTGTTGTCATGGTAACGTACGAAGTACAGGGCGAAACAGCCCATTGACTTCACGTACACATTAACTTGGGCCAGTTACGATGTGTCAAGGTACGGGGATCAGGCCTAACGAGATGATAATTGACAACTTTGCGTACAGGGGGTTGCGACACCAATTTATAGTATACAAGAATATGTTTTAACGCATATAAAACTGTGCTACCGTGCTCATTTGACTGAGTAATTATGAGGTGGGTTCGCAGAAGACGAAGTTTGATTAGTTGTCAAATGTTCCAAGAGATACAGACCTGAATCATCTGCTACCATATGTTTGTCATCTGATAAGCATATTTTATACTCAGCCATTTTTAGCAAAAATACATAGAAATCTCACCTTATGTCTCACGAAGGACAAATCTCTAACAGCCACTTTCCTTGAGCTGACTTTAAGTTCGCTCTGAAGCACCTCCATGGTGGAAATGTCTTGAAAGCCGAGCTCTTGGAGCGTTAAGCAGGTGCGCTGGACTTGCTCTATGCATGGCGAGAAGGAACAGAAACGACCACCTGAAGACAATAAAGATCCTTATATTATCATCGTCCAGTAGGTGCTACACAAAATTAAGCGCCTGTCCAGCATAAAAGTGAATTTCTCAATGCTGCAAAGGGACTCAAGCTGTCTGTCTTAACTATCTACTTCTGTATAAATTAATTTTAAAGTAGAACATTTATAATCCAATTAAAAAGTTACTAAATTCTTTACGAGTAGAGATAAAGACATTGCTTCTTTTAGTGTTGATACAGTTTACAATTACGTCACCTACATCCCTATTGTAAGTTGTTGGTATCCCGTTACGTGCATTATTATATCATCCACGTGCTACACATTCTATAACAGTACCAGTTTGAAACCCCCCGCGGCGGCTGGCAAGCGCCCGCGCCTACAGATTGGCAGATTGAGTGACGTGGCACGTCCTTATTGGTCGATAAGATGTGACAGATAAGCGCATCGGACCGCATTAAAGCACCCGATGTCTCCCCTGACGGCGGACGGTTTTCGTCTTGTAGAAATTCAGAAACGGTATCGGCGCAACAAAAACTTAGGCCCGCTATCTGACCATCTCACCATCATGGGAATGGAAACATCTGTCGGGATATCTCTGACCGTCGTCTTTTTACTTTCATGCTTTTTGTTCGTTTAACATCGGTTCGAGTGCGAACAGCCTTGTACTTTCAAAAACAATTTAATCTTGTCCAAAATACCATAATTTCCAGCGTCCGTCATTATTCTTCATTTTAAGAGTAACAGAAAGTTGACTCAATTATTTGTTGTTGAAATGTTCTTTCTTGTTTGTAAGTTTTAAAAGTATGTTAAACTAAAATCTTTAACAAAGATGTAGTGTAACGAAGTTGGTCACTATCTCCTTAGTACTCTATGTTTCCTATTAGCCCAGTTCCCGTGCATCCGCGGTCGCGTGACGGAACAATATAACACTATAAAACGGTCTATTACCAATACTTATCCAGGTAATGAAGCTTTTTAAAATAATTGTGTACCTTCAGTACAAAGGTGGTGAAATTCGTAATCTTAATGTATTAGGAGTCACGGAAAGGATCTCAAAATGGTGACTTAACTGTATATGATGATGTTAACAGGCAGCGACAATTCATATTAGACTACAAATATTTCTACATAAAAGAATTAGAATTAAATAACAAGAATTCGTTAGACTGAAAGTCATGCAAGAACATGTAGCTAAATATTTAAACCAACTGGTCCCAATATCTGTGGACATCAGGTAAACATTAGTTAAACAACGGCTAAATACGTGGATACAAGTTAAGGGTTAACAATGGAGGTTAGTCATCCTCTGTGCTTACGACACAGTGTAGGTCAGGACACAGGAATGCCGGCTAATTGACAGATTAGTGAGGACATCAATTGCCTTTGAATTATGCGCGGCGACGTTGGTAAATTCAGTTTTATTGCTTACTCCATTGTGGTTACCGCTTCGGTAGTTTATCGTGTGACCTTTGACAGCGCATTGTGTAATGATTTGTTTATTATTTATAACACATTTTGATATTTCAATTTTCTTTTAAAAAACTATTACAATTAGACACTATACTTTTTAAATCAGAACACAGCTAATTTTATTGTGATTTTTATTACACTATGATTTTTAGCGTGTCGTGTTCAGATTAGTACACTAATAGCGCGAAATTGTATTGGTAATTCATCGTATATCCGACGATACCAGATACCGTCTTAGCAAATCTTCATAGGAACCGGACATCTGATTCGCGTCAGTGAACTCATTGTTCTGTAAATAAACGTTTGTATGCACAAGTATGTGTATGACTGAGCGTACAGTGATATTGGGATGTATCAAAAATCCTCAGGTATCTCAGAAAAATACAAAAAGTACACGAACGTATGTATATTTCGATGCTTCAGGTGGACTTCTCTATTAAAACATATTTCTTCAAATCTACGTTTCAATCCAAGATTTGTCGATTGCTGTATGTTTACAAGATTTACATAAATGTTAAGACTTTACTATATTTATGACTTATAAATAAGATATCGTGATATCATTTACTACGATCCTTTGTTTGTTTAGTGCATTGGTATATTCTTCAAAGGCCCTTGTCTAACGCTATAGGGTTTTGTAACAAAGTCTTTCACAACGAAAGTGTTTGTAAAGTATATTGGCATTATAGAACAAATAGAGGTGGGCCAAAATGATAGACCTAGTTATCGATGATAAACAGTGTATAATTATTTCACCGCAGGCGGTGCCCCTAGTATGTTCTGGTTGATAGAAATAGTCTATTGAAAGATAGTTTTACGGTACTTTCAAATTATACCTTACGTTTGGTAATTGATTATGTACACTAAATACCGCAGTTATATTAAAAACTAGCTGTTCCTGTGCGGCTTCATCCGCATAAAGTTACGAAAATTTTACTTTTATTGTTTACATTTGTCAAATTATCAATAGCAAATGTGAAAATGACATGACATTACAAACCTTGGCAATCTTGCTTCCTTGATGTTGGCTTGACATATGGTCTCTTTCCCACATGAGGGTTTTTATCCAAAATATTTTGCCCCCAAAGTTAATATATAGTCTAAAGCGTGACGTAAATGAAGGGCTTTTCATTAAAGATAGAATTATTCAAAAATATGCTTTAATTGCTGACATTTAGGCAACAAAGAAGTGTGTGTTTACGCTTTATTATAATAGTATAGTTAGCTTGGAATACTGCTTGCTCTTTACATTTTAATACTATGAAAGATTTAATTCTAGTGATTTCGGTGCCGGGTCTTAATGTCGATGTTCATATCTTTAGTATAGTCGTAGCTTTATACAAGGAAAATACAATATTAACAGCGATCAGGATGGGTTTATGCCCAGCGCTTGAGTTGGCACTTCACAAAGACTTCTCTAGTATATTATTGTTAAGGCTACATCTATTAAGTTATTTCATTATTATCGCTTAAGTCCGTAGGCAGTGTCGACATAGTATGTAATAATTTAAGATAACATTTTTTGACCGACTTCCCAAAAGAAGGAGGTACTCAAGTCGTCTATATGTTTTTATTATTTCTATTTTTTTATCATCTGTAATTGCACTCCCGTCTGAAGTAATTATTACGTCTATAATAGGTGCGTTTTATACCAAGCCAACTCGTATTCATAGTATCAATACCAAACTAGTTCAAAGTTTCTTCTAACAATAGTTTCCGATAGTGATTCGAACTAAATCGATTTCTTAGCGATACGAGAGGCGATATAATTTAAAAAGTTGCATCAAGAGATCAATGGGGTAGAGTTGCGTCAATGACGACGTAACGTATTGTGCTCGAGTCCCGTCGGCAACAATACTGGACACGCCATTGATGTATTAGTCGAGATAGCGTTCAAGTGAAATCATATGTGCTCCATGTAGGGTTGCCAACTTTCTGATTTTTTTAATTCTTTATTTGAATTTTAAAAATATGTTGTTCTGAGACCACGACATCAATAAAAGTAAAAAAGGCAAGTGAACTAAAACATAAAATCTAACAAAATTTCGAGCATCTTGCATATCAAGATAAAATACAAAAAAGGTTATGTCCTAGGATTTTTTTACAACTAAATCTGTTAAAAAAGTGTAAGCTTTTTCATTGGACATGTTCACATTTGCTTTTTTTATACAGAGACCTACCAAAATTGTGACGTGTGGTCACTTGGTCGTAGAACATAATGAGGTCGGCACACGCTCAGTATTGTTCTTGCGATGGGCCGATTGGAAAATAATTATCTTAATACCCAACCAAGGCCCTTTGTTAATGTATCGATACATATCCCGATAAAATCGAATTTATTTGGACTATTTCTAATAATCTATTATTTTAATCACTATTTTATTCATAGCTGAGTTACTGTCTTACATTTGGCAGTTAAGTCTCTTTAAGTAAACACTAAGGAACTTTCTTAGCGACCAATTAACAAATTCGATAAACTGTACGAATAACTAGACGTTGCATCGACGTTCGATTATAAACTTACTTTTCAACAAATAAATGGCTTATGTGGATTCAATTCCGGCATCAGAAATGTTTTATCGTTATGCAAACAAATCTTGGCACTTCGATCTCTTTCCCTCAATTTAACAGTATATTATAAAGGATTTTGCGACGCATGCCGGAATCAAACCCGCATACATATTCTCAATTGTCTTTCACTCTTATGTTATCTGATTTAAATTGTACAGAGAGTCGGTTAGAGGATGAAATAGTGTTAGGAATAAAACACTTTTAAAACCGACTTACGTTTTATCTCTGTTTTAAATCATTTGAATGAAGCCAGAAAATCAACTGATAGTGATTGAAAAAAATGTCATGATGATTATTCGTCATTGTTCTGCACTACCCATTTATATACACATAAAGTCTATTAATTCTTAAAATAGTTTGGTGAGTCCTTTAAACAGTTATGAAATAAAAATTTGCAACTATTAAGTCGCAACAGTGGAGGTTTAACATTGAATAACGTATGTGCACGCCTGAGGCGAAGGCGGCACTCGGCCACCCCGGCGACGGCCCGTGCGCCAAGGAATTTGCACAAGCCATCCTCCACCACGAACAAAGCTGAATAACGGAGATATTACACATTTAAATATATTATCAGGATACAAAACACACACCAGGAAAAATTGAGCAATTCTTTTCCAATAATTATTTTTTTAAAGATTTTTTTGCCACGTATAAATTACTTTTTTAAGGGCAATAAATATGATTGTATGAAGAACTTAGACTAATTAGATTTCCACCGTAGCAAACTTGATTCAATGAAATATTGTAATAACATTTTAATCAGGTTGCATTACTGAGAAACGAAGTCGTAGTTAAACGTATGAGATGTCGGATAACTCGAGTTCCGAGTAATGCGTTCAATTAATTTAAAAGCAACATTCGTTAATTTTATTAATGCCCTTCGAGCCTAAATCTACGATCGAGGAGCTAGATTTGATCAGAGCGCCTTCTCATTTTCGAAATTAGCAAATGAGTAAAAAAC